TGAAAAAAAAAAAACATCTTTATGCTCATCAAATTCAATCAGGCAGATAAAAAGAAAAGAAAAAAGAATTTTCAAAGAAAACTTTCATCTCTGGGGAAATAAGGTAGATCCAAATTCCAAAATATACAATACTAGGTTTTTTCTTTTTGAAAAAAAAAAAAAAAATAAATAAATAAATAAATCACATTCAAAGTTTTGGATGAAAAAAAAAAAAAAAACTTTTGAGTAATCAACATTTAAAACTTTCCCCTCAAAGAGATTTTACAAATTATTTTCACCATAATGAAAATTTTGCAAAGTTATAATTTCAAAATTTGTTTTAATATTTGTGTTGATGAAATAATTTCTTTTCCCCATTAATTTAATGGCATGAAGAAAATTTAGTTTTAAATGATTGCATTTTAAAAAGATTTAATTTCATTGCAGAAACTGTCACATCAGTAGACATTCTTTTTATTTGCCAAAGTTACTGTTTTTTTTTATTCTAATATTGAAAATAAATGTTTTTAGCAAACTAAGCAGTTTATTTTAAGAAAGGTAAAAACTTAAGGCAAGTAGGGAAAAAAACCCAAAAAATTGCCCTATTTAAAAAGAAAGTAAAATGATGTTAAAAATAGTTAAGAAAATTTGGTATTAGTCCCCTCCTCCGCATCCAATACAATGATCTACAGACCCCCCACCGTGGGTATCAGGGAGATAGCAATCAAAACATTACTTCAGGATAAACAATTAGATAGGAGATAAAAAAAAAATTTAAAAAAATAAAAATATATATATATATATATATATATATATATATATAAACAATAAATTAGGTTGATAAAACGGGGGACAGGAAGATAAAACATGGTGAGGAGAATTAGAAGTTAACTGATTATCACAATTCACACTTCAGAACTATGGGTGTACATAAAAATTATTTTACTATCCTTGATCAAGTTTTGAAGAGTGAGGAGTGATAACTGGTGAACTTATAATTTTTTTCTCTCTACCCACCCCCCTCTGTATTTTTTATGACCTTCTATATTTTCAAATTAAACTGCTTTCGTGGCTTATTTTATTTTCCCTGTATTTTTTTTTTTATATATCTGTCCTGTATTAAATGACTGGACTGCATCTAAAAAAAACAAATTGTGACGGGTGATGAAAAGTATATAATTTACAACAACATGAAATGCAAGATATTGTGAGGCAAGTGATATGAATCCCCACAAATCATACTAAAGGCTGATCTTTATTCCCCCAAAAAGGTTCTGCCATATAATTGGTGTGGTTAGACAAGAGTTCCTTCCAAAATCCCAAACAAAGAATTCAAAGAAATCATCCTCCCAATTAAATGAAATGAAAATTACATTTATTTTGGTCTTTACTGAATTTTCTTAAGAAAAAAAAAATTGAATTCCCAGAAGACTGCAATGGGCATACAGAGAAGTTTCCTACACAAAAAATGTTTTGAGAGGATGGAATTATGAAGTTGTGAAAAGGATAGATGAAGATAGGGCAAAATAGTAAGTTGTTAAAGAGATTCCTTAAAAATAAAAAACTGTCTTACTTTTACTAAATACAATCTTAAGCCGGAAGTTCTCATTAAAAATAAAAAAATTTAAATCCAAGATTCCCCCAGATTTTCGAAAGAGATTCCGAAAAAATTTTCGCCACCCACTCAAAAAATAAAACTAATCCATCCTTTTATACTTTTATGATTTTTTATGACATTTTTTTTATTATCTAAGGAAAAAATGTATTTACAAACGAGGATATTTTTATTATTGTTATGAATACAACCTGGTGTTGAAAAGTTCTGAGCCTGATAAAGAAGCCCTTCCCAAATATCTGATTTTTAAACAGCCAAGATTTTTGGAAGTGTGAGCCAAGAATTTTCCATTACCCCTCCTTCCATATAATCATCCAAGATTTTTGCTATGACATTAAAACTGTCAATGTTGCTTATTTCAAGATCTAATAACATCTGGCATTAAAGGTTATCACTTTAATTATTTTGGGATCTTTACACTTTCAAAAAGAAGCTTACAAAAATCTCTACTAACATAAGAATCATCATGTATAAACAATCTTTCAACAGAGCCAGTGCAAGGACATCATGATAATCGATGATACCATTACATCTCAATTTTCGAGGTAGTATTCATATAAAATACAAATTTTATTGTAACCTAATTATGTACAATGGATTGTATGTATATAGGCAAGACAATTCAATGAGAAAAACTTTAAATAAATACAAATTAGATGGGTTATAATAGATCATTCCATCTTAAATCAATGTTTTGAGGCAATTTTTAACACATCAACTTGAGATTTTTCTTGTTAAAAGCTTCAATAATTTTAACGCATTCAACATTATGGATTAAAAAGTAGTGAATTTTATATAATGTTTCTTTCAAGGCTTAGCATGAGCAAAACAAATTCATGAATTTGGAGAGGAAAAAAAAACAAAAAAAAACGAAAGAACCCAGAATAACGTCAATTGCACTTAGTTTAATTCATAACGTATATAAATATAGGTAGGAAAAAAGCAAATGTTGATAAGATAGTGAGGGTCACAAAGCACTGCCCAATCAGGCTTGCTCCCCCCACCAGTTGGGGTATTTGGGGTGTAGTATGCACTGGCCCTATCTTTCAATAATATAAGCTTAATATATTCTGATCACTACTTCCATTGAAGTTTTTTCAGGAAGCATAAAGAGATAAACAATAGAAAAAGAAATTAGTAATATTTTTATCAAACCTACAAACTGAACGTGACATTTTAGCAAATTCTAAAACAAAGACATTTCATTGATTATAACGACAATATCAACATCATACCTGAAAGTTGCTAGCAGACTTCAAGAACATTTAACCTCTCCTATATATAAGCATCATTCAAAATGTTACACCTCTGCACTGAGAGATGTGTGACGGCCTTAGGAAAGAATAGTAAACAAAAAAAAAATCCAAGTAAAAGGACTAAAGTTTTTAATCTCACCAGGTGTGCCCGCTTCCTGCCCCCACCCCATACACACAAACAAAAAAATCAGAACATGAGAAATTTTACTTCAGGATTAGAGAGACAAGTCTCAAGAAAATGACATTATAGATGAATGGCAATCCGTTGCAATTCACACACACGTGTGTGTGTGTGTTGAACAGTAAAAAAAATATTAAAAAATTAAATTCTTCAGACACTGGGTTGTATATCAATATTCTTTCATTTTTATTATTTTAGTTAGAATTATTATATTATTATAGAATTTTTATTATTCCAGTTTTTTTATATATATATATATATATATATATACATACAGACACACACTTAACATTAAGCAGTTTTTTTTCTTACACTATAGAGTATTTATCTGTATTTGTTTATGATCACTCGTTCATATGTATACCTACCTATTTTTACCCATTCCATATATATATGCACACTTAACATTAAGCAGTTTTTCTTACACGAAAGAGTATTTATCTGTATTTGTATATGATCACTCACTCATAAGTATACCTACCTATTTTACCCATTATATATATATATATATATATATATATATATATATATATATATATATACAGAAAAAAAAAAACGACAAAATGGAAAAGTTTTGGTGCTATACATTTCATCCATTAGGATTCATCAGAATAAAATAACGTTGACTCTGATGCAACTATACATGCATAAAAAGAGGGAACTCAGAATTTTTTTTTTTTAAATATATGTATTTGGATATATAGTCTATTGGATTTCATTTAGTTGCTTTCTCTTTTTGTTTTCTTCGTTTTTGTTATTGAATATTACACATTGTGATAACAGAAGATCTGCCAAGAATGATGAAATGTCATAAGAACTGGTACATAAATTTACTCTGAATGATTAACAGCAATTAAATAATAATGGAAACATGAATAAAACAGAAGGAACTTAAATGAGGTCAACTAGACTATATGCTCAAAATATAAAAAAAAAATTTAATTTAATATTCTCAGTGCCCCCTCTTTTGTGCACATGTATAGTCACATCAGCGTAAATATCATTTTACCCCAATAAAATCCTAAAAGATGAAATGTACCACAAAAAACTTGTTCACTTTTTCATAGTTTTTCACTAAAATTGCTCTCTCATATATATATATATATATATATGTGTGTGTGTGTATGCAATTTATCTGACGTTTGCAATTTGTCTAACGATCGCAAAAGCATGAAACCCAGGGTCACAAACTCACATCAATACAACTAATATATATATATATATATATATATATAAAGAGAGAGAGAGAGAGAGATAAAAATTTACATATCATTTTCTCGTGTGTGTGAGAGTTTTATCCATTTGTATTCAAATTACAGAAATGTATACCATATGGAAAAGAAGATTTAGCTTCGGAAAGAAGCAGCAACTCCCAAACTAACATGATCTTCTGCTTGTTTTTACCAAGTCATCTTTTATTAGATCTAAGTTTTATTTCTTCGTGCCAAACTTTTCTCTCTTAATATCAATGCCACAGGGAGAAGTGTACATAAAAGAGAAACCAACAACATCTAGGGAGGTTGGAAGGAATAGCATATCAAGAGAAGTCACTTACAAGATGGAGGTTGAAATGCAGGCTTTCATTGGTCGGCATTCCAAAAACAGAAATGGGGTGGGAGACAGGACTTAAAAACTGATTCAGACACATACAACAGGAAAAAAAAAAAAAAAACTCCCTACAAAATTATAAACGTTCAGGCAACTGGTATGAAAATGTCAACTCAATCTTGTATTCAAAAATCAGTATTGTACATAAGGGCAAAGTCTAGCTCACACTGAAAATTATCTGTTTACATTTTGTGTGTGTGTGTGTGTGTGTGTGTGTGTGTGTGTGTGTACATATTGTGTGGGGATAAAAATAGAATAATCTAGCCAGGTTTTTACTTCCAAGATTGATCATTAAATATGTAACCTGAAATTTTCTCTATAAATCTTTTGATCTACATGATGACTATTCAATACATCACATTCAAACACAAGTTCCCATAAAATCACCAAAGTTAAGCAACACTGAACCTGGTTAGTACTTAGTTGGGTGATTGCCAGGGAATACCAGGTGCTGTAAGCTTGGATGTGTAGGTTGTGTAATGGATAATGACTCAGAATTGTCAATCAGAGAGCCAAGTTCCAATTCCCTTTGGGTTCATTATGTTCACTTACACACAAATATCCTTGGGAAAGGCATGAATCCAATTCTCCCTGCAATTAATGAGTTAATTAGTAAGACTTGGATCAGTAAACCATTATTATCTCCAAAAAATAAATTCTTACACTCTAAAAATATTTTCTGGCTTTAAATAACCTGCAAAGAGTTGATCAGCCATAGAAAACAAATCAATAAATAAATATTTACAAATGTGTGTAAACTTGATGTAACTACATTAAATTCAACTCAATTTCTTTTTTAAATAATAAAAACTATCTGAAATACCAAATTCATTTTATGAAATTGAAATTTCAAGAAAAATATGTAAAATTACATATGAAAATTGAAACCATGTTTAAGATTTGTGTGTTTTTTATACTAATATTCACACAAGGTCCAAGAGCCACTCAAGGTAGAGGATTACTATGTGGTGTTGTATGAGCATGAGAAAAGACAAGTAGATGAAATTATACGAGAAAGATAATGGTTAACCCTAGACTTGAAGTAGTAAAGACTGATAGTGATTAGGAAAACATCCTGCCAGAAGTCTTTTCCACAAAGCAGCAGTCCCTAATTTTTTTTTTTTTTTTTTTGTTAAATTTATTTGGTTAATGAATATAATTGGTTTTAAAAATATTACTGTTTCTTTTTAAACAATTTAACATTATCAGAGGAAGATTTTCTTAAATTCTGTCTTTAGAAAAGAATGTTTGGACTAAAAACGGACATTCTTGAATTAGGGACAAAAATTGAAGCAGAAAAGATCAGAGATTGTAATAAATAATTCAATAATACTATCAAAATAGCAAAATATTATACTTAATATTATATACGAAGTACAGTGTGTGCATGTGTGTCTCCCGTTGGTCTGAATTCAATGATTCATAGCTCATTCAAAAGACCTAGAAAAGTTAGGCACAGGGAACAATTTTCGTTGAGCTCAGATTCAGGGTTGCCAGATCATGCAAGGTTAAAAATATATATTAATATATAATAGCCATTATCATTGCTTTCATGGTTCAAGGAGAGTAACTTTTATTTTCCTTTTGTATCCAAAATTGCAGCTAGCTTAAAAGCTGCCCTTTTGGGTGGCATTTAAGTTAGCTTCAGTCGAAGATTCTTGGTTTGATCAACATCACAATAGCTAGGGAGGAGTAAATGCAATAGGCATCAATAAACTAAAGAACTCAAAATTGATCACTGCATTTAAGTATTGAATTAATGTTTAAGCTTACCTTTTAAAAGTTCAATGATAATTCTTCTGTTGCCACTTAATTTAAACATGATTTGATGTACGTAGATCCTTATTTTCCGTACAATTATTTTTATTTCATGGGTGACGGAACAGGGGCAATTTATAAGATAAAATTAATATAGTGTAAAGAAGGGAAAATAGAATAAGTTATACATTCAACATTTGAATAGTTAGAGAAACATAATAGCTAATTAAGTAAAACCTATATTATATAGAATCTATATGAATAAATGCGAAATTGGAGCTCAATTCTCCCACGAATTCCAGCTCTACTTTATATTAATTTATGCACTAAAAGTTAAATATCTGTATTATATATTATCTACTTCTAGACAATATCACTCTTCAGGTTTAACTAATTTGCATATTGATTTTAAAAAGAGTTTCTCATTAATTAACTGTCCTTCATTAGTGTTCTTTTATTCAAGGATTGTTTTGATTTTCATATCAAAAATAGAATATCATCTTATATCGTGCAGAAAAGTGTTTGAAATTTACATTTTACTTGGCTTTCAACAAGTTATCTATTTGAAAAACTTTCCTTAACTATAACAAGCCAATTTACAAATGAAATGGACACTTATAATTTTTGTTTCAAAGATTTCAAGTCATATATATCTTTGTGAAGCATTGCTAGTACATAATATAAGAGAGTCTGGGAAAGGTCTTAACCCAATGCAATTGTCAAACTGAGCAAACAAATTTTATTTTTTTGCAAGGTCTTCTTGATTGGGTTGGAACATTTTCAGCACCCTCTCACAGATTGTGTGTGTGGGTTTCATGTGAGGAAAAAGAACTACAAAAAGAACTGAGAGATTTTATAATCTTGTAGAGAAAGAATCTTCCATTTGAAGTTAGTGTTAGGGGGTTTAGCAATTTAACAGAGGAAAGTTTCTACATGACAAATTTCTATCTTCCATTTGGCTTGAACTAAAAGTTTTCATCCAACTTAAAAGGTTCTTTTGAATTTAATCAAACAAGCATAAATTTCTTGTAAAAATTGCTTCATACATTTTATATATATTGGCAATTTTCTTTTAAACATCAACATATATATGGGTCATGAGGGATCAAGCAGAGATGAATCTTTTCTCTACCAAAAGAGTTAATATTTTCTGATATAAATTTCATCACATCATTTTTACATTATTTATATATATATATATATATATATATATATATATATATATATATATATATATATATATATATATATATATATATATATATATATATATATAATATATATATATATATATATATATATATATATATATATATATATAAAAAAATGTGTATATAATGAAAAGCGTTTACTTCAAAGAAAGCTACCAGATAGGAAAATGTAAGCAAAAACAATATACCAATTAAGACCTCTGGGAGTCACTTGTTTTTGTGTTTGCTAATAATATATACATGTTCTGGTACTCGGACATTTGGAGGCCCAGCATTGTCAAGTACTTTTTGCCAATAACATATGCTCCCTCACTGAGATGGTACTATTCTTCTGCCATTGATAAGTGTCTTTTGAGTTACATTCTCAGCCATCTGGGCATGTCATCCTCAGTGAGTATATTATATCTATCAACCAGCTACCGTTCCTTGGGTTAGCCAAAGCAGGAAGAAAAGCCCTGATTACTGAACATCTAATGCTGATCACCTGAAGAATGCATGCATGCTTAGCACGCAGTTAACTCACATTTGTGGAAAGTCAGACATACATTAGAAGATAATTAATATATGCCCTGCCATTGAGCTTTCTTTTCCAGGTTGAAGTTTTAAGTGAGCTCCTGAAATAATTTGATTTTTATATATCATCATTAGCATCTACTCAATAACTGTTGGGGTAATACAATAGACCTTACTATGCATAATGCACCATTGACCCACAAATAAATCATTGAACCAAAACAACACACATGACCTGAAGTTTGCATTCAAGCATGAAACAGATTGTCATCACAGTACTCACTTTTATATTTTCATATCTACATAAGCACTATCACTTATATTGAGCACTTTTTCCCATACATATAGTCTACTTTAAAATTTTTAGATATATATATATATATATATATATATATAAGGTCATCCCATAAATTCTGTCTGAATTTTAACTTTTTGTTAAAATGATCGAAATTTAAAGAGTATTTTATAATGTCTAATGGAGCTGAACATTATTTTTATGTTTAGATGCATTTAAACTGATCAAATTTTATTTCAGAGAACAATAAAATTAAATTTTGTTTGATTAAAACCCTGCTAACTTGGAAGTACCCAAGAATCATTTGAGGCACATAATGCTTTATGAGTTCAAGAAAGTAAACTCAGCAGCCGAAGCGGCTAGAAACATTCACTCAGTTTATGGAGAGGAATGTGTGAATGAAAGAACTTGCAGAAGAAGGTTTGCAAAATTCAGAGGTGGAGATTTCACCCTTGAAGATGAAGATCGAACTGGACGTCCAGTTGAGTTTGATGAAAAGCTTCTTGAAGCAGCCCTTGAAGAAAATCCTGCTTTATCAGTTGAGGAATTGGCAGTGGTTCTCAGTTCAAACCATACAACTGTTCATCATCATCTTCAACAGCTTGGAAAAGTTCCTAAACTTGAAAAATGGGTGCCTCACAAATTGCCTGAAAACAACCTCAAATCCCAAGTTGACATCTGCTCTTCTCTCCATTCTTGCCAACTGGTTTCACCTTTTTTGGATAGAATTGAGACTGGCGACGAAAAGTGGATCTTTTATCGAAATGTTAAGCGTCGTAGACAGTCGCTTGGTAAAGGGGAAGGACCCCAGCCACAACCGAGAAGGGAACTTCATGGGCCAAAGGTTCTTCTTTCAATCTGGTGGGATCGCCAAGGAATAATCCACTTTGAATTCTTACCACCTAATGCAACAATTAATGCTCAAATATACTGTCAGCAATTAGAGCGTCTGAACCACGCTTTGAGGAAAAAAAGACCTGCTCTAGTGAATCAAAAAGAGGTGATGTTTCATTAGGACAATGTGCGACTCCACACAGCAAGAATCACGTCACAAAAGATCGAAGAACTTGGTTTGGAGAAATTTCCTCATCCACCCGATCTTGCTCCTTCAGACTACTATTTGTTTCGTAGCTTACAGAATCATTTGGAAGAAGAAACAGCTTTTGTAACACAGGAAGAGGTTAAAACTGACATTTGTGAGTTCTTTGAATTAAAGCCAAAAGAATTTTACAGTAATGGAATTAGTAAGCTTGTTAATAGATGGAAGGAAGTCATAGATAATCAGGGAAAATACAATGTTGATTGAATCTGTAATTAAATGTAACATTTGGTCACTTGTTTTCTTTATTCAAAATTCGGACAGAACTTACGGGATGACCTGATATTATATATATAATTTAAACATGCTCTATCTCTGATATTGAGCATTTTATCCCATAAATATAGCACACCTTAAGAGTATATTTCATATATATATATATATATATATATTAGAGAGAGAGATAGAGAGAGACCTGTGTGTATAGAAATGTATTTAATAAACATAAAAAGGTATATTTTAACACTACTTTTTCACTAAATCAAATTTAATCCCCCCCAAAAAAAAAAAAAAAAAATATCACAGACAAGGTTTGTTTTGGTGACACACTCCCACTTTTTTTTCCAATGATTTCATCCTATT